AACATTTTTTTAGGACGTAAGAATAAGTCTTTTTTTTCTGATACTTAATAAATAGTTGTGGACAAAAATTTTCAGAAGTGTAGATCGGCGTAATAAATTACATAATAGATCAACTTTCTTCTACTGTAACAATTAACAATCAAACTTTAGTCAACATATTTAAAAAACACAAAAAATCAACAGAAATTGGATTAAAATATAAGAACCAGCTTAATCACAATCCCTTTATTAATATCCCAAATGAATATTCTACTTGGATCTGCCTTGGTTTTCACGACTAAGTTTCCAAATATTAATCAATAAATTATAATTTTCATACAGCTAGACAAAGACCTTCCAAATCACACTATTGGAAAGTTTAATTATTTATAAAGTGTCGAAGTTTAAGTTATTAATTATTTATCACATGGCTTTGGATATGAAATTATCTCCCAAAAATAAATTTAATAGTGTTGAGTGATCGTGATGAAAACGTAGTTAAGAATTAATCTACAAAAAGATTCACACAATTTACTCGTTTGATCCATAAAGTAATAAAAGGTTTAGGGAGAAAGGAGTTTGCTAGTACGTCTTGCATTGAATCTATGAAGGAAATTTAACAGTAATAAATTTTTATGGTACAAATTGAACAACATAAATAAAAAGAAATCAGACGTCTTATTGTAGAAAAGTAAAAGTCATCGTTCTATAACCAGTGAATCACAACATTAATCTTATAATAATAATAAAAACAAAACAAAAAATCAAATTCGTAATCTTATAATAATAATAAAAGAAAAACAAAAAACTCAATTTGTTTGTTTTTTCATTTCTAGAAAAAAGGGGGAATACGTGGGAAGAAAGGTAAGATAAAAGGTACTAAGAATGGGGCGCAAAAACAGAAAGGAAAAAAAATAGGGAAAAAAGTCAGGGGGCTACGTTGGTATAAAAAATGCTTGCTCTATAATTTGTATAAAATTATTTCGATGCTTAAAAAAATAACAACTTATTCTTTTAAGGACATTAAGAAGAAAGTTTAATCAACTTATTTTAGAATTCTAGAAAAAATAATCATAATTGTTTTATTCAAACTTGATTGAAGATATCGATCGTTTAGCTAAGAACTTACTAATAAAACCAACTTCAAAATTAGAAAAGAAATGTGTTAAAAAAATTAAAAAGATAAAATAAAACTGTTAAGAGCAATGAATTGTTGGGCGATTGGGGAAGTGAGTTAGATAAATAAGAAGGATAATTTAAAACTAATTACTCAGAAAAAAGGGAGAAAAAACAGAAATATAATCAAATTTAAGGAAAACTAAAAGCTTAGTGAGATCAAAATTGTATTCGCTCTCTGAATTCCTCTTATTTGAGATAAGAAGAAAGGGAGAGAGATGGAAGGATGAAAAATATAGCAGAAGAAAAAAAAAAGATGTAAAAAGGAGAAAGAAAATTGAAATTTGAGGAAAGGTAAAAAAATGTTATTAGAATAAAGAATGAACTATTTAAATTTATTTATAATTTAAGAAAAACATTTTTGTTTTAAAATAAATCTTCTAAAATCAATTAAATTGAATCTTCCATTAAGAACATGCACATGTTTTACGATCAAGTTTTAACACAATAGTAAAGTTAATTTTAACATAATTACGAACTTTTTGAAATCAATCTGAATTCAAACAGACTTGAAAAAAGTCAAATTAATTGTAAAGTCTAAAGTTGGTAAGCTTGATTTCAAAATGGTTGAAAATAAAAATTTCCTTCTTCATTTCTTGAAATAAAAACAAAAATCGGAGGGAAAAAAAAGATGTTAGAAAATCATGTTAAAGCTAAGAGATCGTTGTATTCAAGAAAACAAACTTGTATTAAATAAAAAAACCAACCCTATATATAAAAAACTGAATCAAAAATTATAACTCAAACTCATTTTTTATATTATTTCCTAATCCAAAAAAAATAATTATTGGCCTAACTTTGCATTATCAAAATCATTGAGTCACTAACGGTATAGCTGCCTAGTGCTACTAATTTATTTTATTATCATGGTCTTACTATTATTGTGTAAAGCAAAGGTATCATACTTTTTTATATTTAAAATTACATAATTTTTTATATTTAAACAAACCCACATAATACAAGAATGTTATGTTCAGTTGATTATAACCAAGTGTATAATTTTAAGAAGGATTATTGTTCTTTTAACTTTTAGTTAAAATTGAAATTAGTCTTTTCTTACGACTTTATACTAATTTAGTTTTCTAGAACAGTATAAATTTAGCTATTTTAATCAAATTTTGTTAAGTTTATTTGACGTTTCAAATACATTTCTCAATTAACATTCAAGAAAAAAATATGTTAAATTGTGTAAACAACTCAAATACTACCATGAAATGTGTTTGAGACGTTAAATAAACTTAACAAAATTTCGTTAAAAAAATTAAATCCAAACATTTCTAAAAGTGAGAGACTAAATTGGACTAAAATTTCGAAAAGAGACTAACTCTAATTTTTTCTTAAAGTTAAAAGATAAAAACATATTTAACCAATAATGATGAATTTTTTTTTTATCTTTAATAATGAAATCTGATAATCTCTGTTCTTTGAACAAGAGAAAAGATGAGGATATTCACGTAAAATAGAATTTGCAAAGTTTTAGCTTTCAAGTGCCACTAATTTCAACATAGTTGAAATACACTTTATTTGGCACATAAATCTATTTACAACAAGAATGAAATAGAAAGGCTAAAAGTAAACTATAGAAATGAGTTAAAACTAAAATCACATATCGACATTGAGTGTGATTCCTTGATTCCATCATTGCTCCCTTTTGAACAACAGATGGTCCAAATTGTTTAAGAGATAATGAATGGCGTATGCAAAAGCAACTAAGCAGATCATCCAACGTAATCCATAGACAGCACCACCATTTTGTTCTGAAATAGCTGTTCCTTCTCTCACAACCTTCACCACTGCAATGCAAATGGAAAGTTCTCAAGGGTGTTAGACAATTTCTTTCTCATTCAAATCAAACAATGTAATCACTCACTTCCCACCATTTACCAAAACCTCATGCAAATATTCATAATACTCTTCTGTTATTCATTCACAGACAGACTAATCTGATGAACTTGTTCATTTTTATGATATACATCTTAAGAGTCATACCAGAAACGAATTTTTGTGAATAACAATGTTAAAAAACATTTGCATTAATACTGCAGGATCTAAGAAACTCGACATTCATTCATGTTGCTTGTTTTTTTGTTTGATTTGTGTTCGAAACTGGATTAAAATAAAACATTCATCTAAGTTGTAGTTCAATTTTAATATGTGTGTGAAATAATATAAGTGAGTTTGACTCTTACACCTTAAATAGAAATGATAAAGTATAAACACCATCTAAAAAAGAAGACACTCTTAAACTTAATAACTTTAGATTTTGGATTAAAAATAATATTAATGTTTATATGAGTTTGACTCATATCACTATATATCCTTTTAATAACTCTTAAAATCCATATGTGGTATCATAATCCTAGGTTAGTTTCTGTGACCGGCTTGGACCATTATGACAAGTAAAAGTGGACAAATGTTACATCATGCATTAAATGACTTACTGTGTAGTTGGCTGATGTTTAACTTTTGGTGGAACTGGCTGCTGTAATAGGCTTATAGGAGCTCCAACTATACCATGTCCATCAACTCTTTGAGGCCTGGATTTTGCTTTGGTCTTCTGGCTGGAGATGGAGCAGAAGACTTTGGCATTTGTGTAGAATATTGGGCTGTCTCACTAGGAATAGGTACCTTTTTTGCCTACAATACAATAAAAAGTTTTCCATAGTATTTCAGTAACTATTGAATTTGAAGTAAAAGTACAACCAGTCAAAAACCTCAGGTTGTGTTAAATAATAATGAAGTGTGTTGTAAAAAGTTATGTTCATATGATCTTGAACTTTTGACTGCTTTATTCTGTACCTATAGAAATTAGAAAGTATGAAGTATTGATCTTGAATTTATGACAAAGAAAGAAATATCCTACAGCAATATATTTACCATAGTTCTGAATTGAAGATTATAGAAACATGTGGATGTATGCTTTCCTTTGCCAACTTTTGCTCCTTGTTCAACCTTCTCCAGAAGCCATAAATTGATCCCATGTTCAAGACCTTGTTTGCATATATCTTCCTGTATAGCTGCAAGGAAAAAACAAGACTTACGTTAACAAATCCAACCATGAATGTAGTAAAAGCAACACATTTGTTGGTTAAGCATTACCATTCATTGATGCGCTGAAGACCAGCTTTTGACATTCTGTTCCAGTGCTCAGAATCAGTGTTGCACCTTTCAAAGAAATCAGCAATTTTATCACTTGACTCCTCTCCATTATAAGGACTAATGTGAAAACCTGAGACCCCATCAACAATAATTTCTGCAGGTCCACCTTGATTTGTTGCAAAAGTTGGTAGAATCCAAAGTTCATTGCCTCAATGACGTCGACCAAAAGCCTCATACAATGCCGGTTGCACAAAGGCTCCCTTTGTATCTGCAATGCACCGGTACAACTCACCATTGCGGTAGCGGTCAGTTTGAGCTGCAATCCATCTGAATTGCCCCTTGAGATTGTACTCCTTCATTAGCAGATGAATCTTCTTGATTTCCTCAGTTTCTTCTCTGTCTTTGGATTTGGCAGGATCGAAGAATCCTCCAACAACCACAAGGTTCACCAAGCTTCTGAGCCTCTTGTTTCTTGCATACCACTCAACTAGGCCACTAAGGTTCTTCACTTTGTCAAGCCTGGCCATGGAGAATATGATTGGCTTCTTCATGTCTTCCAAAAATCCTCTGAGTCAAATCATATTTTAGTTTGAATCAGGACACATTTGAATTACAACGAAACGATGAGGGCAAAGTGGAATGAATGAAACTCACATGTGTTCTTCACTGTCAACCTTACTGTAAAGTAGTTCTTGAATAGCTGGATGAAATGAAGTCAGCCGCTGGTCCTTCTCTGTGGGAGGGAAGTAGACAGATTGATCAGCTCCAGGTGCAGCAATGTTGAACTTTGGATCAAACACATTGATGCCGGAGACTGCTCGACAAAGTCCAGGCATGGTGAATGCAGTGTGTGTTTCATATTGTCCTGGCTTCTGCTTGCTGATGAAACAAAGTAGTGAAATGTTACCTCATGCTAATTTTGACCACAGGGTGAATACTTAGCTTAAAAGAAGGTTTCATTCAAATGAAAAGGAGGTGTACCTTCCAGCTATCTCTTGGTATGTGCTAGTTATAATGAAATCAGCTGAATTCATTGCGATTATGTCAGCTGAGAACTGACATGAGAAGTGGTACTTATCATCAAGCACCTTCCATTTGGCATCTGAGTCTTCATATTTGGTCATCTCCAAAGCATGAGCAATGGTTGCCTTCATTTGTTATGGATATAAGTTTTAGTTCAAAGTGATGATAAGAAAAGATTGTGCAAAAGCTAAAGGAGAATGAATGAATGAATGAATGAACCTGAGTCACTCCAAGTTTCGAGGCCATTAAGGATGACACCAAGTTTCCGTCTGTGTAATTTCCAATTATGAGGTCAGGCTTGTCTTCCATGAGGTCGAGAATCTTGGCAGTAGCATCCTGTTGATGATAAAGACATATGAATAAAAAGAGAAACACGAGTGTAACATGTTTCATGTTACATTCCTTTATTCTTCTCCGTTCTCTGATATATGGGAAATGGAGGATATGATTGTTTACATACCTGAGCAAATCTTTCTAAATAAGGGTAGATATCAAAACGGGAGACCCATTGACGAAGCATTCCCTTTTCTGTATAGAAAGGGACCCTGAGAATGTTGGAGTGCTTAGTGTGTGTGACAGGTTCCAGTTCTTGGTTGCATGTGGTTCCTTTGGCATCTGGTATAAGACGAGTTACCTGTGCATGGAACAAAAGTTCAGAGCCTTTGAAGATATAGGAAGCAAAAGCAAAAGAGAATAATGTATGTAATGGCTTTGGCGTTTTCAAGCTTAGTTTTTTATTGTTATTAGCTAGAACTCGGTGGCCTACCACTAGAATCTGAGGCTTCACATCAAGGCCTTGCAGCTCAATCTTATGAAGTAGCTCCTCCTCTAAGGCCCTCACTTGATCAAGAATGTATACCACCTGTTGGAAGAAAAAGAACAGCCTCAAGCTCATCAAAGTTATGCATTAAAATGTAGTGTTACAGAAGAAGAAAAAATAGTCATGATTGATGCATTTAAGTCAAATATTCAGGAACAGTGTTTTGAGTACTGTTTCCTAGTAAGAGGAGGAATTCAAACCTGGCCTCCTGTGTCTGGCAATCCAAGGACATCTGCTTGGCCAAAGTATCCATGAATAGAGAGGATAACTATGTTGAACATGTTTGGAAGCCTGCTGAAAAGTGATTCCAATTTCACCGGATCTGCAGATTCTAGTACCTCTGAAAGTAATTTCATTGTCTCTTTAACCCTTCCTGCAGTGTTGCCCCAACCTTTATCAAATCCCCATTCCTTGAATCTGCAGACAGTATTAGAGAATGAGACAGTAGGAAGCTATTTTACTTAATCTCAGGAAAGATAAAATAAAGAAAACAACAAATAATGTTAATTCATTATTATCTCTCAATAGAATTTTCAAATGAAGCTAATTGGCATCTTAAGAACATCAGATTGAACTTTCTTAACCTTTTTTCCAATCATTTTATGTATACTTATTCACTGATACCAAAATGGAGGAATAAAGAAAAAGAGTTAGATGTGGACCTGTCTTCAAATTTGTGGTATGGTGTATCTTTGTGAAGTGCAGATACATAGGCTTCAGCCACCTTCAGCGCTTGCTGAAGCTTTGGCATGGTATTCAAAGTGTCATTGATCATAAGATTCTGCACATTGATAAAAGAAATATGCAGTCACTGTTGTTGAACTCTGCTTTTTCCACTATTGCAAAATCATTTGTGTATATATTTCAATGTTTGATTTGATTCACTCATGCCTTTATTTACCTCTCCTTGATAGTTAAGGCTCAATAAGTATTCCAGCAAAGGATTTACGCTTGGGGAGCCTTCACTCAACCTTGATGTCAAGATCTTGGTGGTAAAGTTCAGTCCACTACCTATAGAAGAAGAAAGAACCATGCGAGGGGTGGTGAAATCAATAGCTCCAAAATCTAACTCCAAAGAGTTTTCATCATTTGCCCTGCAAATTCAAGTATGTTCAGCATTTGCACTAATCATTGGCACAAGCCAAAAGGGAATGTGAATGAGCTTCAGAGAGCATAACTTACCATTTCTCATCAAATATCAGTTCCTTGTACTTCAAGTATTCCACTGCATCAATACCTTCCACTTGCAAATCATCAGCATTCACTTTAACATATTCCCAGAAACCAGGATTAGGCCTAACTGCAAAAGCAACATACGGTGGAACAACAGCAGCTTCCTGAACACAATTCCAATTTGTTCCATAAGCTATATTTTCCTCCTCTTGATCTTAAACCCCACCTATGTTTTGAGTGTTAGCTATGAAATGAAACAACTGTACCTGAGTGCAACTGAAGATGTAACCCAACATGCCATCTAAAAGTTTTTTCCTCTCAGCTTTGTCTTCAACTGATTTCTCCAAATCATCCATCACATGATATTGTTTCATTAACCTCTTCCCACTTGCAACAAACCTGTTTCACATTTCCCTCCCATGTTACACAAATTGTAGAACAGAAATATGAAACCCTTTTGAGTATAGCTTATTGACATAGGATAAAACTAATGCAAAGGAACTTTTGATACACTTTCCAATCAGAATGCACCTCAGAAATTTATGCTGACTTTTAATGCATCCTCATCATACAATTTGAATTCTGATAAGAAAAAAAAAAAACTAGGATACCAAAGTTTCCTTCACATAAAGTACCTGCCAAAGCATTTCTTCATATGAAACCTGCTTTGCTTCAAGGCATCTGGCATGCTATCTGTGATTGAATCTGATCTCTTCAAGGACAAGGATGAGGTATTAAATGAAGCCATTTGAGGAGAATGAGTAGCAGTGGTTGATTAAGAAAGGGTAGTTTTGTGCATGGTGTTTTGGAGGGTATGGAGAGAGTATTTATATTGAATAATGAGAAAGAAAGAGTAGAAGCAAGGAAAGAATATGTGAAATATTGTGCATGAGGGACAAAGCAAAATATAGATTGCTCCGTTCAGTCATATTTAAAAGTGGAGGCAAAGAATGTTTAAGAACATGAAGTTGTTCTCTGAGGTAACACTCTTGTTCTTTTCTTTATTCCATGTCAAGTGCACACGTTGTTCTTCATCACTTTTCTCACTAATATTGCTTCCTAATCATGCAAACTAGATTTAAACTCATGCACTTAATAGTGATAAATAATAATAAATCACGACCATTTTTTATTTATGTTACAAAGTATACTTATTTGAAGATTAAGTAGGTGAAAGTGGTATTATTAAAAAATAGTATATTTAAATGAATGTGTTAAAGCATGCTTGTTTAGGATAGTGAGTTTCATTTTCTTACAAATATTCTTACAAATATTCTTACAACATTCCTAACACCTATTCTACTATTTTTCAATTTTCCTTATCTCTTAGGAGAAGGGTTTTATGATAACTTTACATTTTCATATAACTATTTTTGTTGATTTTTTATTAAATATATTTATTTATACTTTAACTAAATATCTTAATTTAATATTCTATCTTTAAAAAAGTTTGGGAAATAGGTGGCGTTTAAGAAAAAGGAGTTGTCCGTCTCTCTTTAAGAAAAGTTTTTTTTCGTATTCACAAAACTAAAATTTTATACGGATAACTATGAAAGTTTAAGAGTGCATTAATATTTTTACAAAAAAGAAAATTATTTACTGTATTAAATATCCAATATAGGTAGTGAGAGTTGTTTTAATTATAAACCCTATGTACTAACTTAACCAGTTAATGGTTATATAAATGGTTTACTTATTCCATGATATCAAAGTACGAATTATTAAAATTAGTGAAAAGTATTAGGTTATCGTCATAGTGTATGATATTTTAATTTATCTTTGTGCTAATTGTGTCATACTAATAAATAAACGGAGAAACAAAAATAAAATTGATATTATAATTTTTTTTAATTTAATTTACTAACTTTTTTAATTAATTATTTCATTTGATATCCAATTTTTTTCTTTTATTAAGTTTTATTTACAATAATGAAGTTTGTTTTGCAAAAATCTGAATTCCTTACCATGATTTTTTTATTTATTAATTTTTGCTAACCATTTATTTATTCCATTTAACATCATAAAGGAACTTCAGCTAACAAAACATGAATTGACAATTTTAATTTAATTTTTATAATTGTTTTACAACTAACTGAATGGATAAATATGAACTTTTATATATATATATATATATATTTGAAAAATATAGTAGTTTAAAAATGGTGAGACTCTCAAATTATTTTAATATTAAAATATTTTAATACAAATAGTTTTGTTATAAACGAATTTCTTTATTTTAAAAATATCATTTCTCTAAAAATCATTTTTTTAGAATTTTCTTAAGGTTCTTCCTCTTTGCTTGTTTGATTGAAGAATTGGGATTGAATGATTGATCTTGCAATAAGTTCTTCAGTTTGGATCAATCAATTTTTCATTTGCTTAAATTAAGTTTCAAATCTTTTTCATGGTCTGTTTGTTCTTTCTTTGTATGTGAATCTTTATGGCTTGTATGTAGCATTTGAATTTTCTATATGAATCTCTACTAATCAATGGTTCTAATGGTGTATTTGGATCATGTTTGTGTTGTTCCAAGATATAGATAGGATATCTTATGAGTTGAAAGAGATTTGGAATTCCTTAGAACAAGTTCATCTACCTCTCAAATAAGAAAAGTTAATTGCATTGTTTTTAAAAATATAATACCTTGAAACTTCTAATTGTATGATTGTATGGTAATTGACTAGGTGTGATATGTGAGATGAGTATGACATGTTGAACTCTGGTTAGGCTCTTGAAGTGCACAATTGAATTGTGTGATGAAATTTGATGAATTCAAATTTATGGTTTAAATGTTTAATTCATGAATTTGTTGGTTTGGATTTGATTTTGTGTTTAAGAGAGTAATAATCTAAGTACTTGGTCAAGTGGTACGAGTTTTCAAATTTAAAACTACTTTGAACTAATTCACTCATAAAAGAGTACTCATTTGATGAGTTGAGTAGGTATAAGTTTGCTTAAAATGTACAAAATATAGGTCTTACATTTGGTATAGCACTAAGCAACGCCAAGATTATGCTGAGCGTCCTATTTTAAGAATGGGGTAGCGTTCGACGATGTTGGATTGACGTTGAATGCCTAGTTTTGCAAATAGTTTGGCATTGAGCAGCGTCAAGGTGCCACTGAGCATCATCCTTATATTATAGGTCTAAAGCATTTTAACTCCAAGATGTTAAGCGCCAGAAAATGTTATTGAGCACACCTTTTTGCCAGAAGAATAGAGCTAAGTGCCATGTTATCGCTCAGCACCAAGTTTTGTGAGAGGTCTAGCGTTGGATGACATTTTTTAGCATGAGTGTTTATGTTTGAATTATCTTTTTCTTTGACTATTTAAAATGAATTCACAATGGACTTTATGTATGTTTAAAAGTATTATGTTGTTTATTTAGGTATGATTTATTGAACATTAAAGTAATTGTTGATTTATGAAGTTATTTTGAGAATGGTTAATATATTTATGGATAAATATGCTTGTGAATAATAATTTAATGATTTTGAAGAAGAAAATCCTATCTACTATGTAAATCTTTAGAGTGTGCATTGAACTAAGAATTGTTCCATCTTGTGAAACTATGTTGAACTCTATTAATCTTTTATGCTCATGTAGAGGAGAATGGTTGGATGGTGAAAGTGACATAAGATCATGTCATAAGGATGGTCTCACGATTCTTATGATGGTATAAAAAACTAACTTTATAAGTGAGAGTAAGTCGTTGAATAGAACAGTGTATTACCATCACAATTATAGAGTTTAACACATTTAACTTTTTGTATAACTTCCTAAAATACCTTAGGTAACCAATTACAAGGAACATGTAATCTATCACCAGGGCCAAGTTGGACACCAACCCTCATGATTTTGACACATCTATGTTTAAACCACCTATCTAAACTTTGGCCTTCACAATTAAACAATTAAATGAACTAAGATTTCTTTTGATTTCCTAAAGACCATAAATGATGAGGCAACTCATTTATCCAAGGAAAAAAATTAAAAAAATCACTCAAACACAAGGTACATACAATCCTAAAGAACCTAATTCTCCTGAGTGAGGAGTCATTTCCAACTTTCTATATAACTCCCAAAATGCTTATGGTAATTACCAGGACTATGTGATCTTTATTTAGTATTCTCAACCTCATTTAATAAAAAACATTTAATATGCATATAAATGTCGTTGAGAATATCTAGAGTAAGGAAATCTTCTTCCTTAGCAAACAACTGTTTGTAACGTACGTATCATCTTTCCTTCGTGCACTTGTACACATCCATTTCTTTAAATTTTATAATTTTCTCTCTGAAACAAAACTCATCCCTCAAATCAACCCATCTAACGACTCTTTCAAGACACTTATACTAAATATATCTTTTTGATTAAAGCTTTTCTGTTCTGAAATCAGTCTCCAATTCAAACCACCAACTAACTTCGTTTTAAAACAATATCACACACAACTACATCAAAAATAAACTAATTCACATCATAACAATTTTAAAATAAAATAATGAAGAGAAAACGTGAAAGGGAAAATAGCAAAAGAAATAACAAAAATAGCTTACTTCCATTACCAAAATCATGGATATTTTCATTTAGCAACCTACAATCCAAGAAAGGGAAAAGAAAAGAGACAACAATTTCACACACACAACTACATCAAAAATAAACAAATTCACGTCATAACAATAAAATAAAATAATGAAACAGAAAACGTGAAAGGAAAAATAGCAAAACAAATAACAAAAATAGCTTACTTCCATACACAAAATCACTGGATATTTTCATTTAGCAACCTACAATCAAAGAAAGGGAAAAGAAAAGAGACAATTTCGCAACCTCACTAAATTTAAGAAAGGGAAAAGAACGAAAATCAAAATTAAGAACCTTACTACCTTATGTACTACCGTTATAAAAAAGTTTGTTACCCTCTTCATAATCTTTACTAAAACTGTGGTTATACTTATATTAACCATTGTTACCCCATTCACGGAACAGAACCTTAACCTTTTAACAGAAATCTTTACACGCTAAAAACATCTCATCCGAATCCCAGATCATCATCCCTAGACTCGATAAAACACGTTAAACAAAACATCGTCCGTGCAACAACAAAAGTGAAACTTCTCAAGAGCAATAACAAAGACTGACCACAACATAGTCTGCATCAAATTAGGATCCTGATGACTCTACTAAGGAGTTCCGAGGATTTGACAAAATCATAAAATCTAAAAACAAATTATTCACAACACCACATTAACTCGGTCCCTACCAAATGACAGCACACACTTAGGAATAACCACTCCACAAAGCAAGGTTTTGTCAACAAAATATCTTAACAATAAAACATAACCCTCTTCACATTCTCCTTCAGAGCAGGTAGTGGTCTCACAGCAGCATTAGCTCCAGGTGCTCGGGTGCTTCGACCAATACCGCCACCCATTCCACGGCCAGCAACTGCACCACTCGTCATGGACCCACTATCGGACGTCTCTGGTTCCATGTAACATCTTGCTCGAAAGCAGCCAAGTGGGCATAATATGCAGGGAGGATGCAATTGATCCCAAAAAAACAAAAACACAATCAGTTAATCACATACATAACAATATACATAAACGTATAAATAAGACTCTATTGAACAAGACAAAAGGGGGGAAACTCACCAATTGAAACAGATCGTGTGCATCTAGCATATCTAACAAAACAAAAATATCAAATTCAGTATCCTGTCTAAAAATGGAACAGTGGAAGCTGAAAAGCAACGCAAATTAACTTACGTGTAGCAAAGGTTGTTAGTAAGAGTTTGCAAAGC